TCCTTGAGGTTAAATATCTATATATCTACTTAGCTGGAAGCAAGTCACAAAATCACATCTGAGCAGATTATATCCAATTGCACTGGAAGTCATAAACACAAGTCTATCAAATTAGTTCAAGTTACTGCTTTAATAAGTCATTGTCTTTGCACAGTTTGTATGAAGAGACAATGGACTCTGTATTAACATTTATTTGTTAAAGTGAATAATCTACGCAGTACAATTAGTGCAGTCTACACTGGCATACTCAGTTTTTGAATCCAGATTATCTGCTTTGAACTGGATTATATGACACTGTAGATTCATATAATCCAGTTCAAAGCAGATCATCTCAACTCAGAAGCTTTCTTTCAAGTCTTCCCTTAATAATCAAGAAAGAAAAGAAGTGAAGGCAAGGCGTGAAGGAAATGCATGAAGGGAAGAGGGATGAAAGAAGGAAAGAGAAAAAGGAAGGGAAAGCTTGAAAAGAGGAGGAAAGAAAGGAAAAAGGAGGGAAGGAGAGAAAGAAGGAAAGAAAGAAGGGTAGAGAAGGAAGGAGGGAGAGAAGGGGAGAGAGAAAGAGGGAAGATAAAGGAGTGAAGGGAGGGAGGGACAAAAGAAGGGAAGGAGGGAAGGCTTGAAAGAATGGAGGAAAGGAAGAGAGGAAGGCAAGGCATGAAGAACATGTGTTGTGAATAACTTTTCAATCAGTGAAAATTGCAATAAAAAGAACCTGGTTTAAAAAGTATTCAAGGCACATGCATGAAGGGAAGATGGAAAAGAAGGGGAGAAGGGAAGGAAGGAAATAGATGAAGGGAGGGAGGGAGGGAGGGAGGGAGGGAGGGAGGGAGGGATGAAAGAAGGAAAGAAAGGCGGAAGGGAAAAAGGAAGGGAGGGCTTGAAAGAAAGGAGGAAAGAAAGGAAAGAAGTGAAGGCAAGACATGAAGGAAATGCATGAAGGGAAGAGGGTAAGGAAGAGAAGGATGAAGTAAAGAAGGGAAGGAGGGATGAAAGAAGGGAAGAGAAAAAGGGAAAGCTTGAAAAACGGAGGGAAGAAAGGGAAGAAATGAAGGCAAGGCATGAAGGAAATACAAGAAGGTAGGGAAGTGAAGGGGAGAAAATGCATGAAGGGAAGAAGGGAAGGAATGAAAGAAGAGAAGGAATAAAGGAAATGGATGAAGGAATGAAGGGAGAGATGAAAAAAGGAAAAAAATGAAGGGAAGACTTGCAAGAAAGGAGGTAAGAAGAAAGAAGTAAAGAAAGAGAGGGAAGGAAAGGAAGAGAGGGAAGGAAAGGAAATAAGGGATGGGAAGAGGGGAAGGAAATGCATGAAGAGAAGAAGGGATGGGAAGGGAAGAAGAGAAAGAATGAAGGAAATGGATGAAGAGAAGGGAAGGAAGGGAGGAAGAGAAAGAATGAAGGAAATAAGAGATGAAAGGAAAGGTAGGGAAGGAAATAAGGGATGGGAAGAGGGGAAGGAAATACATGAATAGAAGGGAAGGAAGGGAAGAAGAGAAAGAATGAAGGAAATGCATGAAGGAAAGAAGAGATGAGAGGAAAGGTAAAGGTAATAAGGGATGGGAAGAGGGAAAGGGATTTTTTAAAAAAAAATTAACAAACAAAAAAAAAAAACAAAAAACATTAAGAGACGAATGTGAAGGGGAAGGGTAAGCAAAGAAGAATGAAGGCAATCAATTAAGTCAAGACATAGATGAAGTAAAGGTAATAAGGGATTGGAAGATTTAAGGAAAATGCCATGAATATAATAGGTAATGGACAGGGTAGATAATATCAAGACTTCCTGACCTGTATTCATACTATTTCATTACTTTATGGAAATAACTCCATGCATTCCATAAAGTATGAAAATGCACTTTAGGGAGCACTAATGTGGATTGCCACGATGTTCAGTCAATACATTACATCTCATTGCCGACTTTAAGAATATAAAGACTGCACGGAAATAGCTTAAGGAATAAGAATGACCCGATGAAACTGGTAGGGAAGGAAATAAGGGTTGGGAAGAGGGGAAGGAAATGAATGAAGAGAAGAAGGGAAGGGAAGGGAAGAAGAGAAAGAATGAAGGAAATGCATGAAGGAAAGAAGAGATGAAAGGAAAGGTAATAAGGGATGGGAAGAGGGGAAGGAAATGCATGAAGAGAAGAAGGGAAGGAAGGGAAGAAGAGAAAGAATGAAGGCAATGGATGAAGGAGTGGAGGGAGGGATGAAAGAAGGGAAGGAGGGAGAAAAGGGAAGGCTTGAAAGAATGGAGGAAAGGAAGAGAGGAAGGCAAGGCATGAAGGACATGTGTTGTGAATAACTTTTCAGTCACTGAAAATTGCAATAAAAAGAACCTGGTTTAAAAAAGTATTCAAGGCACATTCATGAAGGGAAGATAGGGAAGGAAGGGAAGAAGGGAAGGAAGGAAATAGATGAAGGAAAGAAGGGAAAGAGGAATGAAAGAAGGTAAGAGAAATAGGAAGAGAAAGCTTGAAAAGAGAAGGGAGAAAAGGGAAGAAGTGAAGGCAAGGCATGAAGAAAATACAAGAAGGAAAGAAAGAAAGGAAAGAACCTGGTTTTAAAAAGTATTCAAAGCACATACATGAAGGAAAGACGGGAAGGAAGGGAAGACGGGAAGGAAGGGGGAAGGTGTCCCTTGGCGTTTTAAGGCAGGCAAGGCGGCGGGCGAGGTGCCCAGGCCAGGCCAGGGAGAGGGCGGCCCATTTGGGCCCGGCCTCTTCACCACAGGAAACGCGGCGCCGGGCCGAAGAGAGGGGCGAGGCCTTGGCGGGGGTGGCCCCCTCCCTCCTCCTTGCTCGTGGCTGCCTCCACTTACCAGCTTGCTTCCTTCCCCCTCTAAGTCAAGGCGCGCGGCGAGCTCCCCTCAGCAGCCCCGCTCTTGCTCTTCTTCCTCCTCCTCCTGGCCGCCATTCCTCCCCCGCCCCGGGCCTAGCCTTACCTCCTCCTCCTCCTCTTTCTCCTGCTGCTCTTGGGAGGGCCAATGAGGCCTGGCGCGTCCCCTCAGGCGGCGGAGGTGGAGCTTGGGAGAGGCAGCGGCGGCGCGGAGGGCTGAGGCCGCTTTTTATCGGGGAGAGAGAGAGAGAGAGCGGGGGAGAGGAAGGCCTTAAAGGGGTCTCTCCGCCTTCGCCCCCGGGCCTTGAGGGCCGCCAAGAGAGGGAGGAGGGGAGGCCTAGAGAACCTTTCCCCTCAGCTAAGAAGAAGAGAAAGAGCCAAGTGGAGTCTTCTTGTGCTTTCCCCTCTCCTTCCCTCAGCTTTGCATCTTTTCCCTGAGGAGAAAGAGGTCAAGGGGATTTGTTTTAATTTTTGGCACTTTTTCCCCCTCAGCTTCGTGGAAGAAGAGAAGGGAGAGAGCCTAGAAGAGGGTTCTTGCACTTTCCCCCTCAGCTTTGGATAAGGAGAAAGAGCCCAGGGAACCTTCCTTTTTCCCCCTCAGCTTTTGAGTCTTTTGGGTGAAGAAGAAGAGGAGATCCCAGTTTCTCCCTCAGCTTCGTGTCTTTGGAGCCAAGAAGAAGAGGAGATCCTACTTTCTCCCTCAGCTTTGAGTCTTTTGGGTGAAGAAGAGGACGGCAAAGAGCCCAGTGGGGATTTCTTGCCCTTTCCAACCATAAACTTCGCACCTTTCCAGGAGGAAGGCAAGGAGGAGAAGCCCTTGGGTCAAAGAAGAGGACGAGTACGGGTCTTGCTGGCATTTTCTCCCTCAGCTTTGAGTCTTTTGGGTGAAGAAGAGGACAGCGAGGAGTCCAGTGGGGATTTCTTGCCCTTTCCAACCCTCAGCTTCGCACCTTTCCAGGAGGAAGGCAAGGAGGAGAAGCCCTTGGGTCAAAGAAGAGGACGATTACGGGCCTTGCTGACATTTTGTCTTTGGGGCCAAGAAGAAGAGAAGATCTTACTTTCTCCCTCAGCTTTGAGTCTTTTGGGTAAAGAAGAGGAGGGCGAGGAGCCCAGTGGGGATTTCTTGCCCTTTCCAACCCTCAGCTTCGCACCTATCCAGGAGGAAGGCAAGGAGAAGCCCTTGGGTCAAAGAGGATGATTATGAGCCTTGCTGGCATTTTCTCCCTCAGCTTTGAGTCTTTTGGGTGAAGAAGAAGAGGGTGAAGAGCCCAGTGGGGATTTCTTGCCCTTTCCAACCCTCAGTTTTACACCTTTCCAGGAGGAAGGCAAGAAGAAGCCCTTGAGACGAGTAGGGCCCTTGCTGGCATTTTCTCCCTCAGCTTTAAGTCTTTTGAATGAAAAGAAGGAGCCCAGTGCTGACTTCTTGCACTTTTCCCCTTCCGGCTTCGTGTCTTTCAGGTGAAGAAGATAAGGAGAAGCCCAGCAGGCCTTTCTTGCACTTTTCCCCCTCAGCTTTGTATCTTTTGGATGAAGAGAATTAGCCCAGGGAGATTTATTATTATTATTATTTGCATTTTTTTTCCTTACAGCTCCGTTTTGAGTGGAGGAAGAGAAGGAGAGGGAGCCTTGTAGAGGTTTCTTGTACTTTGTACCTTAGCTTTGTTTCTTTTGGTTGAGGAAGAAGAGGACAAGGAGCAGAGCGGGCCTATCTTGCATTTTCCCTCTTGGGTTCGTGTTTTTCAGGCGTGGAAGACGAGGAGGACGGCAAGGAGCCCAGTACATCTTTCTTGCACTTTCTTCCACTGGTTTGTATCTTTTTGGTGAGGAGAAGGAATTTTTGGTGAGGAGAAGGAACCCAGCAGGCCTTTCTTGCAGTTTTGTGTCTAAGAAAAGAAAAAAGAGCTCAGTGAACCTTCAAGTCTTTCGGGCGAGTAAGACAAGGAGGAGAAGCCCTGAAGAGGAGGGCAAGGAGCAGAGTGGGCCTTTTTTGCAACTGTCCTCCTCAACTTTGTGTCCTTCAGGCAAGGAAGATTACTTTTTCTGGAGATGTTGGGGAGCTGCCGCGAGCGAGAGCGGTCCTTCTTCAGCCTGATCCCCTCCACGCAGCCTGACGGCCTTCTCCTCCTGGCATAGAAACTGCCTAAAGTGAGGCCAGGTTTGCGTCCACCATGGCGAAAGAGGAGTGCAAGGCACTGCTGGATGCACTGAGTAAAGTGACGGCCTGCTACCGGCACCTGGTGCTGACAATCGGCGGGGCCTCGGACTCGCAGAACCTGCGTGAGGAGCTGCAGAAGACGCGGCGCAAGGCCCAGGAGTTGGCGGTGGCAGCTCGGACTCGGCTGACGACGGCACTGCGTGACAAGACCACGGGGAAGGAGGAGCGGGCAGAGCTGGAGCGGCTCTGGGTGCTCTTCTCCACCTGCCTGGAGCTGCTGGAGGCAGACATGCGTCGCGCCCTGGAGCTGGGGCAGGAGTTCCCACTCAATGTACCCAAGAAGCCCCTCATCCAGACGGGCCTCAGTGGGGGGACCTCGGCCGTGGCTGCCCGGGCCATGAGCGCCCAGAACATGAAGTATGAGGCCGGGCATGACATCGACGCTGCCGACCTCAAGGACTTGGAGAACGAGATCAACCAGGTGGGAGAGATGCGCTACGAGATGGAGATGAAGGTCAGTGTCCCTCAGTGGACCGTGGAGGCCAAGCAGGACCCCGGCGCCGAGCTCCACTCCACGGCCAGTGCTGGAGCCTCCTCGCTGGGCCTTGTCTCCGCCGAGGAGCCCAAGGCCTTCTGCGACATCAACAGGGCCCTGGCCGGCATTGTCTTCACTGCCGTCCTCCTTGTGGCCGTCATCCTGGCTGTCTGCGTGGCCAAGCTCTCCTGAGGAATACTTCTGCCTGCCGGAGGCCCTGGCCCACGCCTTGCTCAGGAGAACTCCTATGGTGGGCAGCCATACTACGGCCGTGAAAGGGCACTGGAGGTCTCTGCCCATGCCAGCCACGCTTTGAGAGATTCTAGCTTTGCAGTTCAGTCTATATCCGAGGTACATACACCTTTATTGGAGTAAAAGGTGTTTTCTGCACAGGGAAACTTGTTATCTGGGGTTGGGATGCCCAGATCCTGAACCAGCTGCACTTTGAGATAGTCTAGCTTTACAGCTCCGCTTATATCCAAGGTGCATACACCTTTATTGGAGTAAGAGGAAAAGGTACATCTTTATTGGAGTAAAATGTGTTTTCTGCACAGGGGAAATTTGTTATCCGGGGTTGGGATCCATGTTGTTGGGAAAGATGTCTGCACCGTGCCCAGACTTTGAACCGTTTGCACTTTGAGGTATTCTAGCTTTACAGGACAGTATTTTGAGGTACATACACTTTTATTTGAGTAAAAGGAGAAGGCCGCAATGTTTTCTGTGTAAGGAAAACTTGTTGTCTGGGGTTGAGATCCATGTTGCTAGAAAAAGGATTTAGGGCCCTTCCACACAGCCCTGTATCCCAGAATATCAAGGCAGAAAATGCCACATTATCTGATAACCCAGTTCAAAGCACATTTTGTGGGATTTTCTGCCTTGATATTCTGGGATACAGAGCTATGTGGAAGGGCCCTTAGTCTCTGCCCATATCCCAAGCCGGCTATGCTTTGAGATCGTCTAGCTTTACAGAACAGCTTATATCCAAAGTACACCTTTATTTGGGTTTAAAGAAAAAGCCAGTGTAACATGAGACTGGGATCCATGTTGCTGGAAAAGGGGTCTGCGCCCTTTTCCTGACCCTGAACCAGATACAATTTGAGATATTCTAGCTTTACAGAACAGCCTGTATCCAAGGTACATACACCTTTATTTGAGTAAAAGGGGGAACACCTGTTCGCTGGGCCCTTCAGAGTTAATGAAAGAGAGGTATTACAACTACCAGCTATAGTAAGGATTGAGTTGCTATTTGTAGATCCGCTATTCTAAGTAACCAGAAGCCGATGTGGTTTGTGAATAGCTGCCTCCGGTGGTGACCCATGTTTACAAATTGCACATCATTTGGAGGTTGGGATGGATTAAGGGACAAAACAGAGAGATTTAGGAATTAGATAGTATTCCCTTTAAACATAAGGAATAGTGTCTCTGGACTGAGCAGGGGATTTGTTTCCTCCTTCTAAAAAAGCATTCTTTTGTTTTCTTTTTAATCTCTGGAGTTATGACTGAAAGTCTGTTTCTGGGATCAAATTGCATAGAGACCTGGATCTTTATGGGGATGGGGAGACTAATTGCATCTTTGGCAAGTGTACAATGTTAAATGCAACCTAAAACAACAAGAGGAAGATTAAGCACCATTTACAGGAATCTTAAGAAGCCCAGTTTTCAATTTATGATTGCATAACATGATTTTCTTCTCCTTTGTTGGGGGGTGATGGGAAGGAAACTCTACTTCTTGGTATTTTGGTTCTTAACTCCATGCCAGTCATTTTTATAAATAAATAAATAAATTCATATACAATGCCATTCTATATGCAGAGATTGACATTTATGGCTGAGTCCTCTGTGTTGACCTTAGTTAAACTGTAATTCGTGAGCATAGGAACTGTGTTAGGTAGAACAAGATCCTAAGGCTATTTGGAATATTGTTTAGCAGTGCTGAATTAAATAGGACATCTTCCCTAATAAGTATGTTTGGGTTGAAACATACTTAAAATGTTAAGGTTCGTGTGCCAGTCAGTGTTTGTGGACTGCAGCATCAGTCTACATTTTTATGGAGGTATTTTTCTGCTTATGTTTGTGGAAGTTGCTTTGATCTAATGTTGGTGTGATCTGGGTTTTCATTGCAACTGACTTTTATTTGATGTGCAGTACAGCATGGTGTTAAATTTTATGTAGGAATATATGAAGCTGCCTTATAGTAATACAGGCCATTGGTCCCTCTAGTTCTGTATGACTGACAGTGGCTCTCTAAGGAACCCAAGTATTCTTTGGGATCCTTTGTAACCCTGGGTAATTATACTATCTTTTCTAGTCCTACCTGAAATGCCAGACTGATCCAGTTTAATTCTATGGTACAAATAAGACACCTGATCTCACGTTGACACTCTGAGCTTTACACATGTGCATCTCCTATTACTTATAATGGGATTTATATATTTACCTGCAGGAATCAAGGCGATTAGAATCAATCTTATAATCCTGACCTGCTCAAGCACTGACATAATGTGACTTGGATGGCAATGCTTGGGCCTGTATCTGATACAAGCCCTTTGAAAAACTGACAGCTGAATGGAATGTAAACGTAGGGCTTCAACTAAATGTGGAATAGCTTAGTTTTTCACAACTGAAATTTATCAGCACCCACCACACATGCTTTCTCTGTTCTTTTTGTAAAAGGAGATATATATAAAATACACAGATTACATAAAACTGTTAAAGGGCATTGATAAAGAACACAAGAATTCCCTCCTGTGCAGGCATGTTCCTGTCTAAACTATTCTTAATCTGAAGAGCAGCATTTTAGTCAGAGTGGTTTGCAAAGAACAATTTTCTATTTTGCTCATTCAGTCAGTAATTTGAACTGATTGACACTGATGGCATGTGGTCTGAACCATAGGAGCACTTTGAGGCATGCCTCTCCAAATAATAGGCCTCCCCTTTGAATGTATTAAGGTGTTTATCAAAGATTAATAGAGTTGGAAGAGACCACAGGGGCCATCCAGTCCAACCCCATTCTGCCATGCAGGAAAACACACTCAAAGTCCTCTCAACAAATACCATCCAACTTCTATTTAAATAGCTTCAGAAAAGGTGAGCCCACCAAACTCTGACAGAGCATATTCCACTATCAAATGTTTCTTATCTATTTATTTTTTAAACATGTTTACTTATTGGGAGTTCCTTGGGGTATAGTTTGCTAATTAAGCAAATGACAGTGCAACCATAGTTACGTTTACTCAGAATGAAGTGCCAGTTTGTGCTTAATTCTAAGTAAACATACTTAAGGTGTTGCACCTGTGCATAGAACATGTTTATACACTTTTAGTAGTAGAAGGCTGAGAGTTCATTTAAGAGCAAGGAAGATTTACAGATGAGATTTAGCTCTGTGTATAAATAAAGTATCATAGATGCAGGCGAAACGTCAGGAGAAATGCCTCTAGAACATGGCCCTATAGCCCGAAAAAACCCACAAGAACCTGTTTTTTTTTAGTTTTTTTCACATCAATGTTTATTCTGTATCTGCTGACTGATCCTGCTCTTGATATTTTTAGTTAATAGCCTTTGGTAGGCGAGCTGGGGAAAATGTTATCCATAAAATCATGGGTGCTACTGCCAGTCCCTCTGGACCTATGGCCAGGAACTGCTTGGTTCTACAAGTCAGATTCCTGCCCTCTAAACGTGAGACTAAGTCAGTGGGCTAGATGACACGAGAAGCAGGTTTAAATCATTCACTCTTCCCCTCTCACAATACTATGTCTAGGTTCCAGATAGTACCAACCAGTACCCTATACTGTCAGTAGTCTGATAGTATCCCATATTGTCTAGGGTAGCTTTCTATAGATGGATCAAGCTAACAGCAAACAAAATGGTTCCACTGCCAGAAAAAGTAGTAAGGAGAAACTATCTCCATCTTACACTTTTACCCTATGGAAGTTAAGGCACTGAAAACAGCAGTTTCCAACCTTAACAGTGCTTGAAAATGTTTTCCTTTTTCCCAAGGGAAGTTTCACATTGGTGTGATGATCTCATTATTGTTTTTACAACTAGATATGTATAGCCAAATTCCATGTATGTCTGCACAGAAGGCTCCAGTGGATTCAAGGGTTGTGTGTAGTTTTAAGAATGCTGGGCATTTGAAGTACCTATGTCTGATGGTACATGCAATAGAACATTCTGCAAAGATGCATGCCTGTATGTACTTATTTAAGTAAGCCCCACTGTATATATTGGACCTAACTAAGAATGGAGCTGTTACTGAAATACTGTGGCATTCACTTTCATGTACCCATGTCTCGGTTAGATGGGTAGTCAGTCACGTTATGAAAAACAATCTAATATATTGCCTGCTGCTAGCCACATTCTCCTTGAGGACTATAGTATGCCTATGTTGGCTTTAGAATTGTATATTTAAGCTTATTTACTTATAAGCATATATGCATATAGAATATATGTCAGGATATATCTGGCCAGGATGGGCTTTTGTCCTGCACATTTTATAGAATGTAAATAATGGTGGACTTCGAAGTGACAGGCACATGTTATCAAACAAGTCTCTTATTTTTTGTGTGAAGGATGTAGCCAGGGAAGCCTTCTGAAGGCATTAACAGAAGAATAAAGAGTCCAAAATAAAATGGTTCAATAAGCCAGTGTTTTAAGATGGCATCCTTAGTTAATTATTTAGTGCATCAAATCTGTTGGTATATGGTTGTGAATACCTCTGTTTCATTGAAGGAATGCGTTTGGGATTTTATTTGAGACTGCAAAAATAATCTAACAATTTTTAATTCATATTGGTGCTAAAATACCCCACTTTGCATGTAGAAGTTCTCAGACTGCTGCTATTGATCCTCTTTATCTGTCCACTGCCACTTCAATCGTTGTTTGTTGATAAGATCCCACCTTTGCTATCACAAGGGCTAGGCATGTGAGCCACAGACCTTTTTAAATGGGGCAACACTTGCACTTAAACTTTCTGCAAATGACAATGCTTAAATGCTGGGAAGAGAGCAGCAGGAGACCAGATTTTCATGTTTGAATTGTCACTTTATAGTATTCTTGTCAGGAACAATTCTGTATTCTTTGCACATTCCAGACCCCAGTCCAAGCAGCTCTGCAGCAGTGCTTGTTCTGGCACAATCACGAAATACAGATTCAGTAGCTGACAGTAAGGTTATTTTTTATCATGTCAATCTGTATGTGCTGTTACTCATCTATATGTTTTTGTAGGACTGTATTTATTTATTTATTTGTGTCAGGAGTGACTTGAGAAACTGCAAGTCGCTTCTGGTGCGAGAGAATTGGCCGTCTGTAAGGACGTTGCCCAGGGGATGCCCGGATGTTTTTTGATATTTTATCATCCTTGTGGGAGGCTTCTCCCCATGGGGAGCCGGAGCTGACAGAGGGAGCTCATCCGTGCTCTCCCCAGATTCGAACCTCCGACCTGTGGGTCTTCAGTCCTGCTGGCACAAGGGTTTAACCCCTTGTGCCACCGGGGGCTGTAAGGTTTATAAGGTGTGATTCAGTTTTCGTGATGTTCAGAATTTGTTTTGCAAATGATCTGATGTATTTGTTGCATAAATCCATAATATTGTAATGCACTACCTGCCTAGACGATTATTCTGTGACAGAACCAGGCAGCATTTCTGGGTTTTAAGTAACCATGTTTTAAGATGGAGATTTAGGCACGTTTGTAAATGGGTATCAGAATTGTATTACTTATATCTCTCTTAAAATATGATTCAGATTTACTTCTTGCCTGTTTCTCAAGATCATTCCAGCCATCAACTGGGCATCCATTCATGTTCATGAAATGTAAAGACGGAAGAAAGTGTGACACAGGATTGCCACTTTCTAATTACCTAATACCTCTACCATTAATTATCCAAGGATGCCCAGGACAATGGCTTGTGCAATGTGATCCACAGACAGACGCCGATCACTTGGTCTGGGAATCTGACTGAATGCAAAGGAGGCAAAGAGACGTATAGATGTTACCCGTGATATATTCGTAAATTTGCACTTCAAGCCATACCAATGAGAATTTGGTTTCACCAAATACATGTCCGATTGTCATTAAAATGAAGCCTGGCACATTCCAGTTGCTTTCTAGAAGAAGTTTAGTATGTTGTTCAGTCACTTGACATTTTTTAAAACAATACTTCTTAGCAGTTATATTTATGAAAACTTGCTGCAACTACAGACTTACTGAATACCTTTAAAAGATGAGTTAAAGCTGAAGTTTAACTTTTGTTAAAATTTGTACACACTTTTTTAAGAAGAAAAATAAAGCCTGACTCTCTCATGTTTACAGCCTTAGCCATTTTTGAGTAAGAATGTATATTTTCACTGGAAAGAGCAAGGGAAGATTTCTTTTTGTAAAAGGAGTGAGGAGTATGACAAATTCAGGTATCATGACTGAAGGCGATGAGAAATTATAAATACCAACTGTGGTATAAAAGAAATAAAAGCACTTTGGATTTCTACTTGTTGAGATGTTTGTTGAAGGTCTGTATTACAAATCTGTTTTACAATGATTCTGCAAGTGTTAAATTATAATGAGCTGGTACCATTCCATCTGTGTAAGAGCGTGGGTTTTTGTGCTGAGGATAAAGCCTGTTGCTATTATTTATTTAAAATAAAGTCTCTTCTGTTAACTTGCCAATGTGCTTCCAGGGCCTTTTTATGTGTGAGTAAAACAACAGATGTCTGAGTATAAGATTATCAATCAAATGGAGCTGGGTTCCTCACTAAATCACTTAGATCAGGTATGGGCAAACCCAGGCCCATGGACTAGATGCAGCTCTTGGGCTCATTTTTCAGGCCCTCCTCTCTCACCATCCTATCCTTCCTGCCTTCTCTCTTTCCTTCCTCCTTCCCTCCCTTTCTCCTTCCACACTTTCATCCTTCCTTCCCTCTCTCCCTTTTTCCTTTCCCTTTTGTCTTTCCTTCTCTCTTTCTTCCCTCCCTCCCTTCCCCCCTCTTTCTCCCTCCCTCAATTCCCTTCCACCCTTTCATCTTTCCTTCCTCCTTCCCTTCTTTCCCTCTTTCCACCCTTCTCTCTCTTTTGTCTTTCCTTCCGTCCCTTTCTTCCTCCTTACTTTCCCCCTTTCTCCTTCCATCTTCCCTTCCACCCTTTTCTGCCTTCCTTCCCTCTTTCCTCCCTCTCTCCTCTTTCTCCTCTTCCTTTTCCTTCCTTATCTTTCCTTCATTCTCTCTTTCCTTTATCCTTCCCTTCCATCCTTTTCTTCCACCCTTTCATCCTTCCTTCTCTTTTTCCTTCCCCCTTCCCTCCCACCCTATCATCCTTCCTACTTTTTGTCTTTCCTTCCCTCTTTCCTCCCTCCTTCCCTCTCTTCCTCTTTCTCCTTCCTTCCTTTCTTGTTTCCTTCACTTTTATCTTTCCTTCATTCTTTCCTTTATCCTTCCCTTCCATCCTTCTCTTCCACCCTATCATCCTTCCTTCCCTTTTGTCTCTCCTTCCCTCTTTCCTCTCTCATTCCCTCTCTTCCTGATTCCCCTTCCAACCTTCCCTTCCTCCCTTTTGTCCTTCCTTCTCTCTTCCTTTCCTCCTTCCCTTCCTTCCGTCACCAGGCAGCCTAGCATGGAGTGTTAGCATGCAGCCCCCAAGTTAGAAAGTTTTCCCATGCCTGACTTAGGTCATCCAAATAACCCAATTCAGTACTGG